AGAGAGGGAGACACAGAATCCAAAGCAGGCTCCAGGCTCTGAGCTGTCAGCACAGAGCCCGACGCGGGGCTCAAACCCACGAACCGTGAGATCACGACCTGAGCCGAAGTCGGACGCTCAACCGACTGAGCCACCCAGGCACCCCTTTTTTAAATCTTTGTTTATTTTTGAGAGAGAGAAAGAGACCGAATGTGAGCTGGGGAGGGGCAGAGAGAAGGAGATGCAGGATCTGAAGCAAGCTCCAGTCTGCGAGCTATCAGCACAGAGTCCGATGCAGGGCCTGAACTCATAAGCCATGAGATCATGACCTGAGCCGAAGTCAGACTCTTACCCAACGAAGTCACTCAGAAACCCATTACAAAGAAAATCTTGAGTAATGTTTACCAGTTTGGATTTAACAGGCCACATATTGGTCATAGTAAAATCATAAGTACCAAAAAGAAAGAAAAGATCATCAAACTACTTTCAATAGGTAGACACTACGAAAATTTGTTCAACAGCTAGGATCAAAGTGAAAATCAATTCTGAAGTTGCACCTTTCACACCACAGATCAGGAGCTGTAAATGCATTTAGAGGAAAGTGTGTGGCCTGAAATCCTTGACTATATCTATATCTATATCTATATCTATATCTATATCTATATCTATATCTATATATTTATTTATTTAAATTTATATTTATATACATAGAAGCCTGGACAAACAAAAAATAACTGCGTTAAGAATTTGAGGCAAACCATGAGAGACTCTTGAATGCTGACAAAAACTGAGGACTGATGGATGTGGGGGGGTGGGAGGGATGGGCATGGAGGAGGGCACTTGTGGGGATGAGCACTGGGTGTTATGTGGAAACTACTTTGACAATAAACTATTTAAAAAAAAAAGAATTTGTTTCAAGAGATCAGAACAAGAACAAAGAAATGAAGTAAACACATGAAAATGAAACACCAAACGAAAAATCAGCAAGTGAGAATTAATAAAAATGAAAGTTTAAATAAGTAAGATAGATATAAACTTCGGGAATGTGAATACATTCAAAAGCTAACCCTTTCAAATAATTATACGGATTAGCCCCTGGAAAATCTGATCTTAGCTTAGTCTTTTCAAATAATTAATTATATGGGTTAGCCCCTGGAAAATCTGATCAATTGGAGGAGTAAAAAAGTGTAGTAATTTAAAAGGGAGACATTCCATGAGGTAGGTAGTAATATAAGCCAACTACGGTAGACTATGAGGTAGAAGTCTAGAGCAACATACTCAAGCACTTAGGCGAAACGTGTGAGTCCCTGGGAAAAAGCAATTATGCAAATCAATGAAAAAATTCATAAGAGACCAGTGAGTAGAGAAAACATAGGAAAAGAGTGCAAGTCTCACATTTCAAACATACCAGTACCCACAGGCAGCATTGCTGGGCACACCTCCACAGAAGGTCTGGCTGAGACTGACAAAGGCAGGTATGGCAGAAGTCCCAGTCTTCCTCTGGCAACCCTATAGGTGTGAAATGGTCATGACCACGAGGGGCTTCACTGGACAGGGCAGGCTGCAAAGGACAGACCCAGAGCAGTGTGGTTGACGGAGCTGGAGAGGAAGAGGCGGTGCTGGGGGAAACGCACAGACCAGGACTGAACTGGCAGGGGCCAAGGCTGACAAAAAGAGCTGGGACCTCACGGGGTGACGAGGGGTGGACCAACATGGGCGGGGGCAGGGGCATGGCCGCCGTGACCCCTTGAATCCTCCTCATGTCCCAAAGCGGCATCATCAGGGGGGACTATCCCACACTCATCTATATCCCATCCTATTCTTCTAACACCTTTGGCCTGGGGAACACAAACAATTGCACACAAGCTGATCCACTGGCTGTGCACTAATCAGGTGCCACGTGCATATCTAAAGGCCTAGGATGGGGGACTGCGGGAAGCAAAGGCCGCTGGCACCTTCTTTGTAAAGTCATAGCTCCCCTGACAGAAGAGGGCCCACCGAGCCCTGAGGGGGCATCACTTCACAGCCACCCTGCACGTGCACTGCAGCCTCCTGCTAAGCACAGTTGCACTGTCACCCACCACCATCAGAGGTTTGAAATCGGGTTTGTGGCCAGAGAGACAGGTTAGGGGGCCGTCAGGTGATATTCAAATCCTTTGTTCTTCCGAAGTTTCTTAACAAAACTCTAGACGGTGGGGGATGAAGGCAGGGCAGACTCCTGGCCCTGCCAAGTTTCAGGGAAGAAAGAGAGAGAGGGACGGAGGGATGGATGGCCACAGAGGGCAAATGCGAAGACTCCTTCCCATCCAGGGGTAAACAGAGACAGGAGACCAAATGGTGAACAGAGAAGCACAGAGAAACTTTGTAAGATGACCCAAGAGAAAATTGGTTATAGGAACTAGTGTGTGAAGAATTCATTGAGTGTCCCCCTTACACAGGGTGTTGGGAACAGGCTCTCGGTCAGGCAGCTTTCAGCTTTCTACTTTGGAGCGCAGGTCAGCGGTGAGTGGGTCATGCTGGGTTGTCTGGTGAAGCATCAGAGCCAGAAGCCCGGCCCGGTTCGTCATGGCTGTGCGCACCTTATGCTCCTGCTCAAGTAGTTCCTCCAGCTTGCTCAACTGTGGGAGGTAAACATGAGAGGGGGGGTTCAGGATGCTATCTCATCCTTCAGCCCCAGTCTCCATTGTAGCCTACCGTGCGAACGCGCTCTAGGTCCACCTCAGCACGCCTCAGCTTCTCCCAGCAGTAGTGGAGGTTGCACACGCTTTTAGGGAGGCGACAGAAATTACCAGTGACCTCAAAGACATTGTGCACTAGTGGGCACCCACACACCTCATCGTCTGATACCTGGGAGGAAGAATAAAGGATGATGAGGTACAGAGCAGTGATCAGGCAGGCATTATGAGGAGAATGGGGAATGGAGGGCAGTCTGGCAGGAAGGGGAAGAATGGGGAGTAACTCAGCAGGGGGGTGGAGAGAGGCATTCAGGGATCGGGTAAAGAAGAGGAGACAAAAGGGGAATTTCCCTGCATAGAGGATGAAGGAAGAAGTCAAAGAAGCAGGAATGGAGGAATAGAGGTGATCAGGCAGGAAAGATGGAAGAACAGAAAGAGATCAAACCACAGTAATAAGAAGGATGGAGGGAGGGTCTGACAAAGAGAAGCAGACGAAAGAGGGTTGCTAAAGCACGGAAAAGAAGAGGTGAGGAATTGGACAGGGAGGGTGGAAGTCCTAGGGGTTGGCGAGACAGGGAGGAAGAAACGATTTAGGAGATGCCAAGCAGGGAGAAGATGACTGGAGGCAGTGGGGCACGAAGACGAAGAATGGAGGGAAGTCAGAAAGGAAAGAAGACAGGTAGGTCATACAGCGAGGAAGAGAGGAAGGTGGGGCAGCCCAGCAAGGGGCGGGAAAGGAATGTATGACGGTCCAGCGAGGAAAAGAGAAGAATGGGAATGGTTATACAGTGAGGAGCAAAGGAAAGGGAGATGGTCGGGCAGAGAGGAGGGAGAGAGAAACGTAGGGGGGAGGACAGGCAGAGAAAGAAGTAAGAATTAAAGGTAATCAGGCTGCAAGGAGCGGGACATGTGGGGTGGTCAGAAAGGGAGAAGGGCGCACATGGCAGTTGGTCAGGAGGTATGAAGGCAGTCAGGCAGAAGGAAGAAAGGAGGAGGAGGCAATCAAGCGAAAAGGAAGAGAGGACTACGGCGGGGGGGGGAGGGAATGAAAGATGATGAGGTAGGGAAAGAAGAGTCACCTTGGGATCTCTTGAGTGCTCAGGACACAGCACCTGAAGCCGCTTACAGTACCTCTTACTCTTTGGGTCGTAAACATCACAGAAGAGCCTGGTGGCCCTGGGGGGAGGTTGAAAGTGAAGTGCCAAGGGTCAGAAGAAGGGAGGTCCCACCGGAGCCCTGCGCATACTTTGTCCCTAACGCCACCCATACCCTGCCCCTAACCTATCCACCTCCGCCTCTGAACCCACCTTCTGATCCTTCCCACTCTACTCCTGACCCTGTCCATATCATGCCTTTGACCTCAACTAGCACCCACACTCACCCTTCAATGCAAGTGGGATACAAGGACCCAAAGGACCACTTTCTCTCATACTGGAAAGAAAGAGGACAAATGGGAGGAACTGTGAACCCACACAGGATGCCCTCCCGTGACAAAGCCCCAAACCACACGTTTGTCCCTGTGGCTCCTCTGCTCCTGTCTGCCCAGCCAATGTCCTCCCTTACCATTACCATTGGCTGATGTTCCAATCTTGGCCCTCATACTAAGGATGGAAGGGAAGCACAAATGGATGGAGCCATGGATGCGTGTTGCCTTTCTACCACAAACACCCACGCGCCAAACATCCCCTCCTCCCCATGGATCCCACCCAGCCAAAACCACCTTTGCCCCATCATCCCCCATCCAGTTCCCTAACCTTGACAAAACAGTGTTCCATATGGCGCAGGGCGACATGCAAGCTAATTGACTGCCCACAGGAGACACAGAACGTCTGCATGTGTGCGTTGTTCCTGTTACTTCTCTTGGTCTGCACAGGACAGTGGAAGGACCAGTGAGGCAGTGAAGAGTGGGCAAGACAGCAACTACCTTTCTGCTCCATCCCACCCATTCCCACACACCTCCTCATCCTCGCACACAGGCTGCTGCTTGCCACGCAGGATTATGGCCTCAAGTTCCTGGAAATGGCACTCCATGTCCTTCAGGCGGGTGTGAGCGTCCTGCTGTTCACGATGGATGCGCTCAAGCATTTTCTTGCCATGCTCCTCAGCAATGCAGGGGCTCTTCTGCCACTGCTGGACGCGCTGGGGCAGAATATGACAGATGCGCCTAGAAAGGGAGACAACAAGTATGGAATGGGTAGGTAGGGACATTAAGAGAAGAAATGAGTGAGTGACCGAATGGTGATGAATAGCTGATGGAATGGTGGATGGATAGGTGGGTAAGTGACTACAAGGGGGATGAGTGGGTGGGTGGATGGAATGGGGATGGGTGGTTCAGTGGGCAGGTGACCGTAAGAGCGAATGGACGAGTGGCTGGGTGGATGAATGGTGAGAGGATACACAGGTAGAGAGACAGACTTATGGATGGCATCTATTACGCCTTACTCCACACCCTGTTGCTTAACTTCACTCACTCAGCGGCCAGCTTCATGCCACAGTCATCTGAGCAGTACTTGGAGCCTGGCCGGGTGGGATACACACAGCCAGGTCCCAGGCACTGCTGCACCGAGGGCGGATCCTCGGCAGCGGTCTTCTCCAGGTGTTTATGCTTTGCCATGGCCTTTCGCTGCTGCTTCTTCTCTTTCTGTGGAACAAGAGTGGTCAAGGCAGGGACGGGAGAGTTGATGTCAGCTTCCTAACCTTGCAACCCAGCCCCGTGTTCCACCCGACCCCTGTCTTCATGTCCCCCATTCCACCATTTCTGTCACCTTGCATTCCACCTTTTCATCCAACTTCTTTTTCTTCACATTCACTGCTGCTTTCTGCAATGCAGGATCCGGCAACTGGGTCTCCTCAGGGTCACTCATCCAGGACTGTAGGCCAGGAAAATGACTGCAGGTCTTCCGAATTTGTGTCTTAGATCATGCTGAGACACTGCCTCACTTCATCCTCCAAATTGATGACCCTCTCTGTCTTCACTGTCCCCTTCTTTCAAACCAGAGGCCCTGTCATACACTCATCAGGCTTTGTCAAAAGTCCCCTCTGCAAATGTCCTGGCATAAGGTTCAGCCCTGAGGAAGGTCCTTTTCAGACCACAGCTGGAGTGGAGTGAGAGCCCTCCTTTACTGCTAATGGCACTGCCAGCATCTGGTACTTTTGGGACAGCCTGGACTTCTGCGGTCCAAAGTAGGCAGCTCTGATTTAATGGACAGTGGGCAGTGTGACCACGGCAAGGTATCTGCGGATATTACAGGCAAGAGCTGAAGGGCAAACCCTTGCACTAGCTCCACTCCCCTATCTGCCCGGTGTCCTGAACTCACCAGAGCCTGGGAATTACAAGTAGGGCTCCTGTGCTGCTGGGAGGAGGACTCTGGGTCGGCCCTGAGTGGGAACAGACTTACCCTGTGCCAACACTCCTGGTCCCACCTTCTGGCCAACATGGCCAGGTCTCACTGCACCTGCCGGGGACTGAATGGCACCACCTGGCCCTGCTTGCCCACTTTATCCAGACACACCTGGCCGGTCCTTGCTGCCCCCACTTTGCCCACCAGAATGCATAAAGCCCTGTCTATCTGCTCAAAAAGCCTCGACCACACTCCCTCACACTTGGTCAACTCAGCCTGCCCTGCCCCATCCTTCAGAACATACTTGCTACCCTGCTTGCCCTGTACCATGGACCCACACGACATCTCTGCTTAGCCCACCCAAACATTCGTGACCCACCCGTCGGACATGCTCCACCCACCCGCTGCCCCACCCAGTCTCTACAGGCCCCGCCCACCAGACTGCCCTCTTGGACACACCTTACACTCCCAGTCCTGTGAGCCCCATGCACTGCACCAAGGCAAACCTAGCCTTGCCCCATATAATCATCCAAGGCCCTTCCCTCTTCCCAGACTCTCTCAGCCTCATATGCTCCTCTCACTTCCTGTACCTATCCAGTTCTGCCTTGCCTTCCATGTCCTAGGCCATGCCAAGCCCTATCTATCCCCACTCCCTAGTGCACATGCCAGATCATGACCTGTCTGCCTTGACTCACTCACCTAAAATAATTTCATGATTTTTATTCTGAGAGTAGTCTTATGGGAACCTAGTAGCACCAAGTAAAATATGTAAATATACAAAAAATGTATATATATATACAAAATAGATGTAGATCTGTGCACACTCATACATTTATATATACATATATATATATGCATACACACACACAAAAATCACTCCCAGTGATTAAAAGAGCAGGCACACACACGGAAAGAATATACCCTTTTGAAGAAGACAATTATCAGCTGGAGAACTCATACTATT